TCTCTCTCTCTCTCTCTCTCTCTCTCTCTCTCTCTCGTAACGGCAATTTTGCATTTCGTCGATGTTGTCTCTCTCTGTCTCGTAGCATATTGGTTGTGGCGGCGACGGTGGTAATGGTGATGGTCGAAGAAAAAATCCCTCGAACGACATTGATGGCAGCGTTGCGGCTTCGCGGAACGCGGTACTCGCTCACCGACGCTCTATCAAAATTACTTGGCGGCGTTCGACTTTTCGTCGCCATCAATCTTTCCTGGTTTGACTGCTAACGCGATAATGCAGTTACGGCGTGCGCGCGAACGCGCGCCCGCTCGCTCGCCCACCGGACCGGCCAGATACCGCACGGCCGACCCGTCGAATTCGTCATAAATAATTGAATTAAAAGCAACGACGTCGTAAGTGGATTTGCGGATCACCCGAGCTGGCAGAACCTGCGGGCGAATGCTGAATCACGATATCGACGCTCGCGATGTCGCAGATTTCGCGCGCGCGGAACGTTCTTGCGTTGGAGCGTTGCTTTTCCTCCATTGCAAACACGTCATCTCGAAGACGTCGCATTATTCGCGAAAACTCTGCACTGGCGATGTTTCCTCGTGGTTTACAATGCACCTATCGGAGCTCAATATGGACGTGTTTCGCGTAATGCATGTCGATATTGTCTTTTTGAAGCTGCAATTCAAAGTAAATGGGTACGGACGTCATGGAGTTTCGAGCTTATATCACCTTGATTGACATCATCGGGCGCAGTTCGTTTGTATTACATAAACGATCAAATAACGTTCATTAGCGATTTAATTATTTTAACTCGTGGCTGAACTAAATTTCATTAAAATGGCCAATGCCAGCGTATATTTTGCGATCATAAACGGGTTATATCGCGCGGCAAAGTGCGCGAAATTTTGCAATGTTAACGCGATATCTTTGCTCGTATTACAATTTAGGAATCGTAATTAAACAAAATATAATGGTCAAATTATATAAAATAATAGCAAACGGATTAATTAGTCGCTCCAGTAAACACCTCGGAAATTGGAAATAAACGCCTCGCGTTATACCTCGCCCACGCGGGTATAACGTTACCTCTGTGGAAAGCGGGAGAAGCATAAAGCGGTGGACACCAAACGCGCGAGATAAAAACGCGCCGGACGTACGAAGTTAAATCCCACAAAGACTATCGATCTCTCCCGAAGCATCGATCACACGTCCGTCGTCTAAGTCTGTTGGGCACGCCACCGGTGCCCCGAAACGGAAAGTTCGGGAGCGCCATTGTTGTTCAACAACACTGAACAACGGCCGGCTAACTTTCGGTTATCGAAATCTGATCCTATAAATCCTACAATGACGAAGAAGACGGCGATAGCTGATAGCCGCGTGAACTAAGTTCACCGTGTTCGCGCGTGGAAGGAAGTTGCCGAGTTACTGCGCGGAATCGTCGACACGATCGTGTTGTAAGGGTGTCACCCCGAATCGGAGTGGATTTGTCGTGGTCATTGGCTTTTTGCCGGCATCAATCTTGCATGCTTCTAGAGAGCGATACAACGCGACATCGATGTATGCCATCGTGTCGAAAATGACACCCGATGTAAAAATAGCTTTTAGCGGACTTTATATTTCGCCATCTTGTTGTAAAATATTCACGGTCGGCCTCCAAATAGGAACGATGAGGGAATAAAATCGATGTGCCGGAAAAATCGGAGTCGCGATAACGGCATCTCTCTCTCTCTCCTTCCCCCGTGGCATTATTGCATCTATCTATACCCAGTACGAGCGTCGTTTCCGTGGAATCGCATACCGATTGCCGTCACTCTTGCTAGGTTTCGATGTTGCGCGTCGCGATCATCGATTGTCTTACCAACTCGAATCGTCGTACGACGCCGTTATACGAAAGGGGGATCATTACGCGCTCGTGCATATGAATAAATTTGTTGAGTTATATGACTACACGGAGTAGATTATCTGCGCGCTATGTTCGCATCGCCGTTGCATAGGTATTAGCATACCCCAACATATGTACGCGTTATTCCTGCGCAGGCGATATTCAGTGAACGAGTGTGTTCGCCGCGACGGGCAGGAAATTAAACATTTGAGTGCCGAGGAGCGCGAGCGCAACGAAAAGCGCAACGAACTCGATCTCGATTAGAAATTTATCCTACAGTCCTGATCGGGTCGATGCCAATCATTTATCTGGTTTGTATAAGGTGATGTCTCATTAGATCTTGATAAGTCATATAAGCGTAGCGTGATAAGTAGAACCTTATTAATGATAATTAATGATATTATTAATAATTAGAAATTTATTAATAATTAGGATCTGTGACAATGTCATCTTATAAGATAAAAGTACCAGTGCTTAGACACTATTAGCATTGATATATTTTATTTTACAAATTAGACGATTGACTGGAATCAACTTGACCAATACCATGGAATAAAGTTAGGATAATTCTTCCTTTTCCCTTTTTTCTAGTTCTATTTCCTTTTTGAGAAATTTCAAACATGTTACGGCTTTTTTTACGTTTGAATGAACAAAAATGTAACAGTTTTACAGTTTGAAAATTTTTGATGGAATAATATATCTTAAATGAATTTTTAAAAAGGATCATTAAAGATATTTATCGATAGCAATTTCCTACGGGATTGTTTAGACGAATTGTATCGTCGGTTTTTCAGAAACATCGTGGTGCAATGAGAATCATAGAAATTTCTCATTTTTAAGGAAGCCAGGAAAGCGTCTAACCGACATAAGTTAATTTCGTGGATAAAATTTTACATTGATATATCGCTCTAGATGAATTTCGCTGAACCTCCCGCGAGCACATGCATGACACAGAATATATCATCGTAAGTTATACCGCCTCGCACGACTGTGTCACGATAGACCTACACGCAAACATAAATTTTACGTCGCACCTCCTTTTACGACGCGCATAAAAACACATGATAAGAAGTCGCGAAAAAGACCGCGCCCGTCCGCAGAAGACATAATAATCATTTCGGTAGGTGGAGAAATCGGCGCCGTGGTGCTTGAAAGCTGCGATTGCACTCGATTCGGCCCATTCGTGGAAAATCGCTCTCGCTTCTTCTGGAGGGTTTTTTTTTTCCCGGCGATGCAAGGGTTATACACGCAGTCGCTTTCTTACCTCGGCATCGGAAACGGTCCTCTCCGCCAAATTGCGAACTTTGCAGTGAAGAAAAGCGGTGCCGCCCAATTGCACCGTGACGTTCGAGACTGTGTTGTTGTCGTTCGCATCGTTCACTCTTTGCAGCTCGTCGAGATTGCTGAACCAGAGGGCCCGCCAGTCCGACGGTATATTGTAGGGCACGCGTCGATCTGCGAAAGAAAAAGAGAGAGAGGGATGACCGATGGATATAATTAAGCTAATTTAATTAAGTCGATTGCTTTAGGGGTAGAATGGGGGGAAGGTTTGAACAGAATTCGTGGACTCGAACGACGCCGCAATTACAGCCGGAGGAAGGGGGCAAGGGGCCATCGTCGGTCCGGCTACCGCCCGGGCAAACTTTTTTATCGTGGCGAAGAAAAATAGAAGTTATAAAGGCAGGTACGACGGTGCACCAAGAGGAAACAAACGCAGAGCGAGCCTGAACTCGGCTTATTTTACCTCGGCCCTCGTGAATTAGAAACTACTTTCCGCGTTCGGACCCTTCTGGATTACCTTGTTATTAAATTTTTCAAGAAGGCGATCCCTCCTCCGTTTCCGCGCACTCTGTTCATTCCTCTCGATGCAAATCGCTTGGGGAATGAGCTATTCGAGTTATAAGGCAGTTTGCGCATCATTGTAACGATATTTTGCAGAATTGTTTCAGCATTGCGTGCCTGTGTGCGCGCGTGCGTGTACGAGATGTGTATCTGTACAAAATTTATAGCGCGCGAGAATAATCTTATTAGCATCGAATGTGCTGATTAATACGTCATAAATAACATAGACAGTGGCTTAAAATTTTAGTTCCAAATCCACTGACTGTCACATGACTAAAGGAAAAAGTCGAAATATGTATGGGCTATTTTTCCCTTTATATCTTGAAATGTTTAAATTTACTTTAAATATATATGCTATCAAGCAAGTGAGGTATCTACTTTAACATTTGTGTACAGCGAATATTTTTAAAATTAAAATTTTAATATTAATTAAAATATAATAAAAATAAATATAAAAAAATTAATTTTAGTTATTTCCTGTTTTTAGGTATTTTATCGCACTTCTTGGAAAAAAATTTGCACTGTTTCAAAAGGGATCCAAAAATGGGCTATCTTTGTAATTTCAAAATACATAGGATTTAACTCTAGAGTTAATTCTCCCAAACAAAAAATTACGTAAGCCCTAAACATGTAAATTTTAGCCAGCGCATTTTTATTTGCTCGTAACTTTTAGAAAAATTCAATCTTTTTTTTTTAAATCAGTGTATAAAACAACATAGAGATATGAATCCATTTTTGCGATTCAATAAAGTTGAAAAAAGTTGTAATGAAAAAATAAAATATTATAAAATATTATAAAATATTATAAAATATTTTAAAAAACGGTCACGTTTGAAAAATTGATTTGGATAAATTTTATCCACATTTAAGCTTTTATCGTTAAAGTAAGGAAACATATTTTATGATATTTCTCATAATATTTATCGGCAAATATTGCATACATAATCATCTTATGTCTTTTCATAATCGCCTTTGCATAATTGCATTGTGTGCCTACAAAAAATTTTATTACATATTATGCCTTGGAAAAAAATTACTCAAATGCTTTTCCGTAGAATATAGCACTGTATAGAGTCAAAACTAGCTTATATCTGGACCATGACCTATATTTGGATCTTGCCCTCCACCGCTTAGTGAACAAGAGCCGTTTCTTTCTTTGATCCTTTCCTATTTTCGACAAAATTGGGATAATGTAATTCCCATGCGATCGTGGTAAATGGATACTAAGGATATTAAAAATCGCCATCGCTCATGTCGCACGTGCACTTCACTGAAATGAAAACTCGAGTATCGCGAAGTTCGAGACGCGGCTGAAAGAGTGAAAGAGGAATTTTTTCCTCGACACGCGCGCGTGCGCACGTTTCGTTAAAATTTTCACGGATACGACTTATTTCCGGACGCGGCGCGGGTGATTTAGGATGTTTGCCCTAGACGGTAGATTACGATTCAAGGAGGCTGCGCTGGGTTGCACCCGCGCGGCGAGCTCGGGTGTGGCGGGCTGCTTTTCGTCCTGACCTCATTTGAATAATCCACGGATACGTAGCGGACGTACACGCTTTTTACGCCATTCGTGAAAAAAAAGAAGATGCGCACAGCGATGCGCATTCGCAATGCGCTCTCGGAAACGCGACTGCTCGCGTCGTACTTTTCGCGAAACTTTATGTGGAAGCGTGTTGCTTTCGAAATTATTACCGACCGGATCTTTCAACGGTCTAGCTTTGTTCGAACAGGAAGTTTACGAATCGGGCTTCTTTTAGAAAAGAGGGAGAGAGGGAGAGATCACGAAATCATATCATCATCGTCTAAATTAAATACATAGAGTATGACAGAATTCATACCAATTTTCTTCCAAAAGCTTTCTAAGCAATTTAGGATTAATATTTTTTTGCCAAAAATGTCGAGACAATTATTTTCAAAATACAAGCGATAAAAAAACTAGGTTTTTCACGAACTAAATTTCGGCCGCGCCTAAATTGATAACAAAATTATTTTCTTCAGTTTTAAATAGATTTTATTTTAACAAAATTTTTATATAATTTACAGATTAGTTACAAAGGTATATTATGTCGAAAATTAAAACGTCGCCTTAGGGGTCTTTTTGCTCAGGTTTACTCTATTTACTCTATTTGCACACATGCGTTGGCGTGTTTTGCGTCAGACATCCTGTGTATTATGCGTTTAAATGTTTCACGCTGGAAAGGTCAAAGTACATCACACATGTTTGTTTTATAATATTTCTCATTATTCATATCTTATGTACTGTTTTATATACTCGATATGGCAAACGTTGAGATTAGATCAACTCGGTTACATGCTATACTTAGCTCTATTTAATTAATTAAAACAGTCTTTTCTCTTGACCGGGAACACTCGGGTTTATAGACGTTGGTTGATAACATGCACTGTGATGACCGATTAAATCAAATATCGACATTATCGACAATTGCTCAGCAGGAAATTCGGTAGGACTATCTAGATGAATCATTAATCAAGCAATTAAAATTGTATTATCCGAGAAAGAGTATGCGTGTCCATACGAACGGTACAAAGCTACGAGTAAGAATGCACTGAAATTGGATTCGACTTTGTTTGCATGATAAATCTGCGCGAGATAAAATATATAATCGCACGAGCCTCATTATTCGCACAATCAATCTTTCGAGCCCATTATCCCATTATAAGTAATAAGCTCATTACTCGTTAAACCGCCGGTCACAATTCCCTTCATGTTATAATATATATACAGTTGCATCTTAATCTCAATTCTTATGATTTATGAAATAATTTGCAAAAAACAAAACTATCAAAAATGTCTTTTGTTTTTATTTGAAAATCGAAGATATACATGCTGTATCACTCTGGAGAATTAGGGTTAAAAGGATTAAATGCAAACAGAGAAACAGTTCTCTCGATTATCACGCGGGATAGTACTTTCATGTCCTCGTCTTATCTTTTACGTCCACTTTTGTCAGATTTGACATTTGAGGTTGTTTTTCACGGCGTGGAAAAATGCTAAGTTTAACTCTCGGGTTGCAGTCGCGCTTTTGGTACATCTGTTTCCAGCGTTTCGTGAAAATTCTAGTTCGCTTCATCACGAAGCAGCTTCGTCACTTTTGTCATGTTATTTATAGCTAGGAATCCGCGAACATCCGCGCGACAGAGCAAGTGTGGTGTAAAATCACGAATTCGCCGGATGCAATCAATGATTCACGCGGAATGAGGCGCGCATCGCGACGCGCGGTGGAGGCGTATAATATATTTGTGCAAGCGTCTTTAATTCACGAGACCGGGATAGTCGCGCGCACGTGGAGAAAAGTTCGCGAGATCCGCGCGGAGCTTCTCGCCCCGCGTCCCTTCTTCCTCGGGACACTCGTCCTTTCATTCGGGATTCGATTCCGCTGCGGGAAAGTTGGGCATTCTAAACGCCTACATCTCGTCTACCTCGTACATAGGTTGCCGCGGCAAATCGAGTTTGAAAGCCTGAAAATAGTGAGCGCGCGCCACCGTGTTTGGTCGCTACTCGCATTCATCGAAGTGTCGGGGCGAGACCTGAAAACGAGGCTTCCACGCGGCCACTGTAACATCCAGGAGTTCTGAAAAGTCTTTTAACCGTTCGACAAAAGCAACTCGACCATGAGACATGAACGGAAAATCTAATCTCCGCGGGATGAAGGGGGCAACCGGACGAAATTAATTGGAAATCGATGGTTCGTCTTGTGACTTAATCGCGAGAAATTTTCAGAAAAACACATGTCGTCGTGAATAGATGAATAATAAGCCAATAATAATAGTGTCCACTGTAGCAATAAAAGCTTTCAATTTATCCAGGTTACTTAGAATATATCTGCAATAATAATTAAAAGCTTTTTGTTTTATTGTGTTATAACTGTACATTGGCCCCTTCATCACTTCATTTATATTTATTCACATTTATGGTGCAATAAAACACTTTATTACTATCGAAATGATATATCCTAAAAGAGTAATTTGTACAATTGAAAGTTCTTTTGTTTTTTTATTACATTGTAACGATGCACAAAGCTCTTATTGACTCTTCATTTATTCGCTTTTTATTTGATATCAATTGAGCCTTAAATTCTGTTTTTTCCTTTAAATTTTGTTTGGCGATATTTTCATAAGTATAAGCGATTTTTTTAAAAAAATCTGAATTATGGCGTATATCGCGCAATTGACGAATAAAACATCGATTTTCGCCCAACGCGTAACCTGTCTTGCTTTACATATTTCCCCGTGTTATATTCTGCGCATCACGTCAGCGTTGCCCCTTTCCCTGTACACTGAATTTTGTACCTGTTTGCGAATAACAAAGTTTCAACACTTTATTTAACTAGGAACAGCGCGAATTATTCAGATCAAAGCATTAGGCACCGCTGCGAGTTCCCGTCAATGTAACGTTCCGTTGTCTAATTTAATGCCGGCAAACATCATTGTACGCGGCATAATGAATGAAAATAATTAATTACAACACTACGCTAATGCGGAGCGCACGATTGTTGCAGACTCTGAGTTCCGCATCCATCATGTAATAATCCCCACGGTAAATTATCAGGCAAATTGTGGAATACAAGTCTGTGTCAGGCGGTTCGTTTTAC